CTTCTAAATCGAACGATACAATTCGTCGAACAAAATTCCTATATAAATTCGAGTCGATCGTTCTGCTCGAAACAATTAGGCCGGTCCTCTGTTCAAGGCTGACTTCCCCCCCACTCCTCGTAGCTGATTTCGACCCCCCACTCTTTCCTTTCCTCCTCCACTGGCTGTAACTTTTAGCTTGAGGAATCGACATATTTCGCCGCTTTTACGATCTTATCGTCGCTTCTCGAGTGGTACATCGCCCATGTTATAGAATTTCTACGTCTTGGAATTTCTGTGGCACGAAGATTGAGCAGCAAGAGTAATTCAGGCTCGGAGGATCGACCTAATAATATCTTCGAGAAACGTTCAATCTTGTAATTAATCCATTATCCTCGAAGATTTTGCGATATTATAAAGAGAATTCAAATATTTTTTTTTTTTTTCTTCAAATAAAATGATTCAACTTCTCCGATGGATTAATTACTAGAAGGAATAATTTGAAAGAATAGAATGTTCCGTTGTTAAGCGATGGAGGATGAGACTTTGAACGAGAAGAATGATCTCAGAACTCGAGGCTCGAAGGAATGAATGTTGCGCACGAACAGGTCGTTCTAGCATTTGGCATGGCTAACGCTTCCCGCCTTCGCTTTCTTTTGTTTCGTTTCACGCCTGGTATCCAGCCCCGTTGCTCGCATTTCTTATCAAGAGAGGAGCAGCACGGAGTAGAAAGGGCCGTTTTTACGGCGAAAGTCCGTTTATAGGGTCGCTCCGCGTCGAGGCAGCGCGCTTCCGGTCCATCTACTACACCGGAAACTCTTTTTAACTTTGAAAACTTTATCGAAGAAATTCCACCCCACACCGATATCTAGGCGCGTTTCCATGGAAAGATCCATTGGAAATGGTCACATCCCCGACTATATCTTTCCCCATTTCATACAAGAAACATGAGCTCCCTCCCAGAGAACGTGTATAAATCATCGCGTTTACGATTCGTATCTGCGGCTGCGAAACTTTCATCGCGTACAAATTTTACCCGTGATAAAAACGTAATAAATAAATAAAGTTTATTTCCAGAGTCCACCTTTCGCCCGCTTCCTCTTCTTGAATTCTTATTAAAATCTCGTTTCGATGTTGCTTAAATTACAATAATAATTGATCATAAATCAGTAATTTGTAAAAGTGAATCTCAAATTAATAAATACGTCGAATCAAATTACTTAACGCAGAATGAAAGAAGAGGGGGGAAGAAAAATGGTAGAGGAGCACAAGCGTTGCCTCGACGGAAGCGGTCTCTGGTGGCGGAAGGGGATAAGAATAGGCGGAGCCGCGTTTCCGGCGTGCTCAACCCCCGAAAGTACGCGGATATTATATAGCTCCGCCACGGTTTGTGGATCCACACCGGCGCCTTCCACCCCTGCCTCTTCCACCTCATTTTTCCGCCATCTTTTCCACGGTAAATTTTATATATAAGGGGAGCGAAGTGGATACTCGGCCTCCGCTGTATAATCGCGTCACTCCCCTGTGCGATTCAATTTTTCTCTTAACCCTCCCCTCCCCTCCCCCCCCTCCTTCCGCCCATCCAGCAACCAAGAGGAGGAATCACGCTTTTTCCAGGCTCTCTTTTTCCATTTAACGGAATATATGCTGTTTTCCGCGGTTTTTATTATTTGAAAGGGAATGGGGGCATCTGGAGGAGCCTGAAAGCTTCCGGATGCACCGGTCAGACGAATGAATTTTGGATGGGATGGAAGATCTCGTAGGTTTTTCAGTTGAAAAGATGGTTGAGCAGCAAGGTTAAGGAGTGTTTCTCTTTTTCTTTTTTTTTTTTTAATTAGGAGGGAGCTTTCAGAAGCTGCATTGTGCAGAATCGTATCGACGAATTGTTTGACTTGGTAACCGATTGTAAGCGAGGTGAGCAGGGTAATTTAGAATAATTAAGGGGGGAGGGAGGGGTCTCTCGTTATTTTGAGAACGTGGATAGTAATATTGAAGTAATTTGAGACAAAGTTGAGATACGATGTTTCATAGAAATGATGTGTATTTAAAATGTTCCACGGTAATATTATTATAATTCTACAATTCTGAAGGAGCTATATGTACGAGGAACATATTACGCAAAATTATCCCCCCCAAAAAAAAAGAAAACTTCGATGGGAAAAAAGCTTTTAGCGAACACGTGTCGCAAAACGGACTATACGATAATTAAATAAAATAAATAGAACGAAAATGAAAAGAAGAAAAAAAAAAATCGCTGAAAACTGGCCCGGTCTTTCGATCCTAAATTTGTTAATGATACCATCGCAAAAGTGTGTTCGTTTTGTCTTCCCTTCCAAAAAAAAAGAAAAAAAGAAAAACCGACACGCAATCGCACGCCGCTCTCAGCATGCAATTACTATACCGTTGTTGTTTCTTCTTCTTTTCTTCTTTTTCGTTATTTTTCCGTTTCTTTCGTTTTCTTTCTTTCTCTCTTCTTTTTCTGTTTTTTATTTTTGTGAAACGTTGCAACGCTTCGCTGGCACGGAACGAAGCCGAGCTCTCGAGAGGAACCATCATAAGGTAAAGAGGAACCGTTGTTTTTTTTTTTTTTTCTCCCTTTTGCCCTGGCACCGATACGTCGTCTTGAGAGCATCGGCAGAGTTGCTCGAATTAATATGATTGATCACGATTTGTCTCGCATGCAGTACACGATGCACTGTTTTAACATTCTGAAAACATTATGATCCTAGTTTAAAAAAAAAAAAAAGAAGACACCCTTTTCCTTATATATCTTTCTCTCTTGCTTTATACATATCCTTGTCCTTATCTCTTCTGCGACTTCTTTTTGTCTATTTCTTCTTCTTCTTCTTCTTTTTCTTCTTCTTCTGTCTTCCTCGTTTCTTCTCAACGATTTGCATCCATCTTCTGTCTAGATTATATAATTATATGAAAATATGATTAATTGATAAAGTTATCGCTACTATTGATAAAGATCGATTATGATTCAGGATTGTTTCTTCTTTTTCTTTCTCTCTCTCTTTCTCTCCCTTTCTTGTTTGACGAATCTTTTCAAATGTGGATACTGTGATTAGACCGCATGGACGATTCGATAGAATAATCTTGTTATTTTTTTTTTTAAATGATCGGATCGATGTCACGATGTGTTATTAAATAAATAATAAACTTAATGGTATTATTATTTTTTAAGGATACAAGATTTTCAATTCAAGATTTTCTTTTTAAATGTGTTCGAAGATATCGTTACGTCGATCTGCTGATTATTGGTTTAAAATCGAACGAATTGATATTGTTTCGATCACTCGAACGATGTCGAAATTTCTTCGACACCTAAGGTTTCCCTTCTTTAGAACACTTCTCTCTTCGATTTATCTCAATTCTTTTGACTTCTTTCTTCTACGTTTCGATTCTACAATTCAATCCAGCGATCGAGATACGCTTGTATAAAATTGTATTTGATTACTTAATTCTTACATCGATATCCCCTTCAAATAAATATAAAATTTCCGTCAAAGAATTTTCAAATTGTAGAAAAATCTACTTCGATTCACATTCCAAATTTAAAAAATAGAAATTACACGATATTGAAAATTCAGGATCTTTCTTATTTAATTTAAAAATTCTTCCTCCTTCGACTAGCGCTCTTTAACATATATTGTTATCAATTTATATTCCAAATTTAGAATTTTTCTACGAAAAGAAGATTACAGAGATTAAATATTCTTGTTTTAGCTTAAAAAAGAATTATTTTTCGTCCTTTAACTATCACACTCCAAAATTTTGCCATCGAATAATCATAAAGATTAAAAAAAAGCAATTATCCTTTCCACTGATTCGAAAATTCTTTCTTTTTTCTTCTTCTTGAGAATTTCGCGTGTAATGTTTAATTCTGCATAGTCAACTGCACAGTAAAAAAGAAGGAAGGATGGAAGGAAGGAAGTAAGGATAGATGATTCTCATTCGTTCACCCCTCATTGTTTCCAAACTTCGCCTTCCAATCTCACCGCGACGTTTACTGCTCCTTAGAGCGTGTTTCCACGGGAACGGTTCTCTCTGATAGCTGGAATAATTCACCGTCGAAGGAAGCATCCAAACGAGAGCATCGTACTCGACGAGGTTACCTCTTCGATCAATTTTTCAACCGTAATTTCTTCCGGAATTTTCTCCGCATTTTTGCCTCATCTTTCTTTAAACGAGACAAATGAAGAGATCATCCACATGCGATGCTTTGCCCCAACACGATTCCATTTTCCATTCGAAATAACGTTGTTTCTCTTATCGCATCGTTTCATAATTTATCTGAATTAACTCTGATGGGAACTCTCCATCCAAAAAGACACGAGTTTATCTTGATCGCTGATACTTAGATTGTGGATATTTTTTTTTTTTATAATTAAATGAATATTAATATAAATATGCGTTAAATGCGAAAATGTATATATATATGTACATTTTAATACGTTATAACGATAAATTGGTATTTATTTGAGAATATAATACAAAATTTTTGCATTTCTCAATATTATATCTTTATTATTCTTTATTATTATTCTTTTATTAAGGAATGAACTTATATGAGAAAAGAAAAATATTAAATCCACAGTCTACTAATAATAATCTTTTCTGCTTTTCAACTATCTCTCTCTCTCTCTCTCTCTCTCTATTTTTAATACTATCACAGAATTCTTCTGTGACTTCTCTTTTTCTCTCTCTCTCTCTTTCTCTCTATTCTTCTTAAATCCCAATTATTCCCAAAGATCTGCCAAATCGATCGATTCCACAACACATCACCCCGTGCAACTGTGTGTGCTCTCGCTGTGATTTGTCCTTGTGAGAAAGAATAACCATCAACTAATCCAACAGCCTTCCAACATCTGGCCAATTGATCTCTTACTATCCACTACTATTCTCTCTTTTTTCTCTCTATTTCTTTCTATTACTTTCTCTTTATGTTATTCTCAATCACTATCCGTTCACTCACCACCAGTCAATGCCGATTTATTGAAACGCTCTGCGTGCTCCAGGTCGGAGCATCATCACGAAGAAGGGCGATGGCTCTCAGGTGAAGGAATCGACCGACAGCAGCACAACGATCGAGGACGATGACGTGAAAGGTAGGACCACCTAGAAATCCTCTGTCTCTCACTCTCACCTTTACAAGAAAAAAAAAAAAAAAAGAAAAATCTTCTATTCTAGCTCTCCCTCTTTTCGCGCGTGTTTTTTTTTTTTTTCGTGCCCTCGATTCGCAACCCAGCCCCCCCCCTCCCCCCAAATCTGAAATCTTATGAGAGGACAATTCAAAAATCGGAGAATTTTGAACCAACCACCCAGTTTTTGTGTCATCGTATTACACCCACGAATCTTTCTAGGGCCCCTGGCTGAACGTGTGCAACGTGGATTTTGGCCTTTCTCTCCCCTCTATGATCTCTCCCCCACCCCTTTTTCCAGCGTCGAGTGTACGCTTGGAATCTGCGCGGCTGATCGAACCGATCGGGATATACTCTTATTGCGCTTTGTTTTGTTTAAAAGGAACAGTTTGACGCTTGTACAGAGGCTGTTATCGATACTAGTATGAGAGGAATCTAATCGTTTTCTCTTTAACTTAAAATTCTTTTGCGTATAACTTGTATTAATCGAATTGATAATGTCAAGAAGTCTCACAGGATGTCTCACTTGAAATTACCATTTTGATTATTATTATTCGCTGTGAGAAATCTTTGGATGGAAGTTGAATTATGCATATATTCTGATATTATTGGTTTTTTTTTTTGCGCGCGCGTGTAAAGGTCAAATAATCGTTTCTTTTTTTTTTTAGAAAATATCAAGTTACATAAATAATGCATCAGAAAACATAATTTCATTTGTATAAACAAACAACATCGATCTTTGCAAATCCTCGACACGTTCACCCTGAAGAAAGCTAATAATATCTCTCGAAACCATTCCCGTCCAAACATTTCTGTGCGGATAATAATAATGACAAAAATCAATTTCTAATAATAAAACTTTACATATTTATACGCACGACAGAATTCAAATGTATAGTAATATCCTGCACAAAAATTTCCTAGAAAATTTGCTCAAAAATGCTGTTCCAAACTTCTTGTGAACTGCCTATCGCGCGCTGAATTATCGAACAGAACAACGAAAGAATCGATGCCAGCCTGTGTCACGGTTGAACAGGCTTCGAGATCTGTTCAAACTCGGACTTGGGTATCGGAAATTGGCGATGCCATTCGTCTCGGCCCTCTCCAACTTTCCACCAACGTTCCAAGTTGCACTTTCACGAGGGTGGACGACGATGAAACGGTTCGATCGGTCGGCCCACTGTTCCGCGCGTACACGCGGCCAACCGCTCGAGCCTTTTGAGCTCGTTAATTGTTCGAGCCAGCGAACCGGGACAGTTAATTCTCCCAGCGAGATTCCGCTAATGGATCGAATCTGAATTTACCGTTCTACCCGCGCTCGAAGCGCGGCTGTAACTGGATTTCTCGCTACCGGCCCGGATCCGAAATACCCTTCCCCGTGCTGTCGAGGGGTAATTGCGCGAATTTACTGAATTTACTTTATTTTGCTTTTCGATGGCATCGTAATTTTAAACGGTGGTCCATTTTGTGAAAATTTTTTCTGGGGGGGGTTGAAAAATGTGGAAGGAAGGAAACATAACGAGTTAATCGAAGTAATTGATGATTTGAATCCTCACAGATTGAGATTGGAAACCGATGAGGATTCGAGAAATCGGTCACGTCTCCCTCTGGATATAATATTATACAGAATATTAAGGTTTTCATTTGATTTTAATTGAAAAAAAATGGATACGCAGTTCGTAAATGGAGGAGGTATAATGTCTCTTTGGAAAGTTACTATTAAAAGAGAATCTCTCTCTCTCTCTCTCTCTCTCTTCGTCCCTTTGGAACCACGTAACGAAATCACGAGCAGGCACTTGCGCGCGCATATCGGCCTATTATTAGAGAGATAGTTACTCCTGTTCACGTGCAAATCGATCGTTGGACAATAGCTCGAGTAGTTAAGTATCCCCTCGTTGCTTTAACCTCGCTCTCTCCCCCCTTATCAACCGCCCTCTCCAGCTACGATCCATCTTATATTTACGTGTACTCATGTCTTGATTACCGATATATGTGTACATATACGACGTATATGTCGGTAAACCTGTCGCTTAGGTTCGTCAATTGCGCGACAATCTTTAATGGATTATCATTGACGATTTTTCCTTTATTTAAATGAATCTTTTTGCCATATATTGTCTTTTAAGAGAATATAGAGAATTTATGATATATTTCAATTGAAATATATTTGATTATATTTATATTTAATTAAGTTTGTAAATTATTGTATTATATAGTGATATTATATGTATAAGTTTCAAGTTTTAATTTGATAGTTGTAATAAAAGCGACGATCGAATGAACCTTTATAGCACAGCCATGAGGATCGTGTTTAACTGTTAAAAAGATGTAGAGGAAGCTTTTTTTTTTGTTCGTCTTTGCCTACCGAATTTTTTAGTAAAACTGTCCTACAATTAATTATTATCCTTTTCCATGAAACTATTTCTCTCTCTTCGCCTCTTCTTTGTAGACATATAATTGCGTATTACTATTACTATTATAACTATACTATTACCACTACTATTTTTTCGATTCGCTCTATCGCGGATTTTCCCCCTCCCCCTTTTTCTTGGCGTGTATTATATTCGTGTATTATATCGTATCATTCCACGAGATCGTTTCTTGTAATTTTCAGGAAATTAGTATAGTCGTTTTTATTCTGCGTTGCGATAAAGATATAAATATATATAGTTTTCTTTAATTGAAGAAATTTATTCTAATTATAATTGTTATTTTTCACTTCTATATAACTATGTAACTACATAACTATAACTAAATTACACTTTTTTTTAGTTACTCTAAATTTTTATAGTAATTTTACTTCATTATTAAAATCACTCTAAATATCTATATATGTTTTTAATTATATAAAATGTTCTATATAAATATTCTACTATTTTTATAGTAAAGAAAACTCTATTATATTATTTTCTTAGATAGAAGATATAGAAAAGGGAACAAATTGATTAAATTCAAATTTTGAATATAATTAAAAACTTTTTATCGAAACATAATAAGAGTAGTTAATTATATAACACTAATATAATATTACTACTTAAACATTGAAATATCATTTATATACATACTATTTCCAATATGATACTCAAAGAATCAAAGAAAAACGAAGAATAAATTTTTTCGAAGAAATCAAGATTCGAACCCGGATCACTCTAAGTTAAAAGCGAACGCTCTATCCCCATCGCCACAGAGTTCTCAACCTCTATTATGCTTATTTTATGTATTTCTGTTGTTCAGGTTTATTATCAAGTTTTTAAAGATCAAATACTTTCACTTTCTTTATCGCAATGTAATCGCATTCGACTATATTTATTTTCTCATTCAAGTCACGTGAACATATACATATAATCTAGTAAAATCTTTAACCATATATGTGTAATAGCTATCTCTCGTCGCCTATCAGCGACTCTATCTACTTACTATTTACTCAATAGAACCATATGCTATCGAGAATATCACTCGAAAATGTACATATACAGTTTATATCTCTATCAATCTGAATTCTTGCCATTTTCATTATCGTACACCATCAAAACCAGTTCTGATAAACTGAACCGTTCCTGATTAACTTTTATAGCCTGTTCTTTCGCGATTTCTCGTCGATTACGATTGGAATACACGCACACACTATCATATCGATCATAGTAGATCTGTTAAGCCATTCATTCGAGAAATAAAATTATGTACTCGAAATTATGGAAAAATTTTAATTTTCAACGATGGGTGAACGTTTTCAAAAATTTGTCAAAAGATTAAAACGAGTTTTATCACAACTCAGAGATTGAAATTTGGAGAGTTTTAAGATTTGTAAACAATTTTTTTTAATCGTAACCACGTCAACATCCATCGTTTTTACGCGATTAAAATTTACTGTTTTTTTATTCAATGTGTTTCCGGAAGTTGTTTCCCTCCTCGGTCAGCTTTGAACTCACCTCTTTTCTTTGCGGTATATTTGGAGGAACTGGAAGCGTTTCGCATACATTGCCAGAGCAGAATCATTACAGACCTTTCTACAGGATTGTACTTTCGCGAGAGTGCAATTCGTAATTCTTTCTTCAGAAAGAAATCTCCCTGACTCTTTTCTCCCTTCAACATTATTTTCTCTAATTTTTCAACTTGCTTGCTGCATCACGTGATATATCATTGAATTGAAAAATAATTATATTATCGGTTAATTAAAAATCTTGCTATTTCGAACAAAATTTTTACATTCAATTACCATCGTTTATGAATTATTTTAAATTATTACTTTCATACATATTTGAAGTATAGATATTATCATACTTATGATAATATAATAAAAGTTGACTTCTTAATGCTGACCAATATAATCAAATGAAAGTAACAAACAGTGATTTTATCCAACGAATGAGAACGCGAAAGTGCAATCCTGATGATCCTTGGCGTGCATGCAACTAAGTTTCTCCTTTGTACACCGAAAACACCGATAGACAATGGATTTCATTCGCTTTCGAGATTCAGACACTTTATCACGGAGTGGATTGATTCTCGAAGCCAGACACGAGTACACTCGAACACAAAACGGCAATATTATAAAGCACAAACAATTGGATTCAAATATAGATTCGAATTCTCGATCCTTTATTCGCGATTCCTTCGATGCGAATCAAAAATCTGGAAATATCGAATCCATCGATATTTTTCATCGCGATTGATATCCTTCTCCAAATTCTTTTTTTTATATATGTGAAATTCGATTCGTGAATTGTACATCTTCTTCCACCGCGATTTATATATTCTTTCATTTCTTCTGTCCGTGACTTTTTTCTTAGAAGAGAGTCAAGTGATTAAACGGTACAAATAGATCGTTTCTAAATGGCCAAAATTTAACGACACGAATATAGACAATCTCTAGTTAATGACACCTGATGTAAGTTTATCCTCCGACATTGTTCGATCTCAATCGCCATTTCCATACAGCAAGCGACTCGCTTTTGATATGTCACACA